ACTGGCTTATTTTACTTAACATAACCTTGTTAAAGTTTACCTATATTGTAGCATGTGTCAGAATTTCCTTCTTAAAAATTTTTTTTTTATTGATTTTCAGAGAGAAACATCAATGATGGGAGAGAATCATTGTTCGGCTGCCTCCGCATGCCCCACACTGGGGATCGAGCCTGCAATCCGGGCATGTGCCCTGACGGGGAATCGAGTCGTGATCTTCTGGTTCATAGGTTGACACTCAACCACTGAGCCACTGGCCGGGCAGATTCCCTTCCTTTTAAGGCTGAATAATATTCCATTACATAGGTAGCTCCTTTCGCCTGCCCATTCATCCATCACTGGACACTTGGCCTGCTTGCACCCTTTGGCTATTGTGAATAATGCTGCTACGAACATGGCTGCACAATCTTTTTCTGTAGCGTTGAGTTTGGGGGAAATTTACCATTTCTGTCTATATCACTGATTCTGTTTCCTGCTATTACCAATTGGCGCTTCACATACTCCATCGTGTTTGAAATTATCCACCGTCATGTTACACCCCCAAACTGTTCTTCTGTTATCAGTTGTTCCTCTGGTGTGATTTCCTGCTCTTGTTTTGTAGAAGCAAGATTCATTCACTTAGCAAATAAACTATCCAGGATATTTTAAAAACTTTGCCCTGTTTATTGCTGATTCTATTTCTTTTAAAAAATATTTTTTATTGATTTCAGAAAGGAAGGGAGAAGGAGGGGGAGATTGAAACAGCAATGATGAGGGAAAATAATTGATCCGCTGCCTCCTACACACCCCCTACTGGGGACTGAGCCTGCAACCCGGGCCTGTGCCCTGATGGGGAATCAAATTGTGACCTCCTGGTTCATGGGTTGACACTAAGCCACTGAACCGCACCAGCCTGGTGCAGTTAAGTCTATTTTGAGAGGATCATTTATCTGATTTATTTCCATCTTTTGACTTGATGTATCTTTTCATATGTCCTATTTAAAAATGCTGTCTTTTTGCCTAAGTCAGCGGTTCTCAACCTGTGGGTCACGACCTCTTCGGCGGTCGAATGACCCTTTCACAGGGGTAGCCTAAGACCATCCTGCATATCAGATATTTACATTATGATTCTAACAGTAGCAACATTATAGTTATGAAGTAGCAATGAAAATAATTTTATGGTTGGGTCACAACATGGGGAACTGTATTTAAAGGGCCAGAAGGTTGAGAACCACTGGCCTAAGTGCATTGGTTTGCTTGAGCTGCCATAACAGAATACCACAGAATGGGTGGCTTAAACAGCAGACATTTATTTTTTTGTAGCTCTGGAAGCAAGAAGTCCAAGTGAGACCACTCTTTCTGGCTTGTAAGCAGCTGTCTTCTCTCTGTGTCCTCACATGGTCTTTCCTCTGTGTGTGCATTCCTGATGTCTTCTTCTTTTTTTTTTTCCTCTTCTTATAAGGACATCAACTCTATTGGATTAGGGCCCCACCCATATGACCTGATTTAACTTTAATGACCTCCTTAAAGGCCTCATCTCCAAATACAGTCACACAGAAAGGACGAGGTCAGGTGGACCATGTGGTATTGGCTATGTTATATGCTTGAATGCACCCAGCCATTGGCTGTGCTGCTCTGGAAGCTCCCAGAAGGCTTTGCTCACATGTTGGGGGCCTGGTGTTCCTCTGGGTGGTCTCTCTCCCTCTCTCTTTCTCTCCATATTGTGTCTTAACTCCCCCCCACCCACCCCAGCCCAGTCCCCCAGCCCAGGCTTCTCCATGAACCCCCCCTCCCTGCTTCTCGCCTAATAGCTGGACTTCCTTATAGCATGGTGTCTGGCTTCCAAGAGTGAAAACTGAACCTTCCAGGTCTCTTAAAGGCTAGGCCAGCCGTGGGCAAACTACGGCCCGCAGGCCGGATCCGGACCATTTGAAATGAATAAAACTAAAAAAAAAAACAGGCTGTACCCTTTTATGTAATGATGTTTACTTTGAATTTATATTAGTTCACACAAACACTCCATCCATGCTTTTGTTCCGGCCCTCCGGTCCAGTTTAAGAACCCATTGTGGCCCTCGAGTCAAAAAGTTTGCCCACCCCTGGGCTAGGCAGAGTGTGACTTCAAGCACTTTCTATTGGTCAAAGCAAGTCACACTGTCAGCCTGGACTCAAGGCGAGGGGAATGGACTCTACCAGGGATGGGTAGTGTGACTTGCACACACAGTGAAGGGAGAAGGTGATGGCTGCCATCTTTGGAGACTGCCGTATATGTACACACACCACTTGGGCTGCCTGTGGAGAGTGGAGGAATTGGGGTGCAGAGGGGAAGGTAATAAAACAAGAGAAAGGTCTTGCTCAGACCGCAGAGGAAGCTGGGTGTTGTGAACTCAGAAATTGACTCACCTCACTTTCTGTGCCTTAGGTACACAACCTCCCCCAGCCAAAACCAAAATCAACCACATAAAACGGAACTTTATAACCCAAATCAGAAAAACCCTAACATAAAAGTAACGAGTCAATGTGGAAACGTAAGAAATAGTCTAAGTATATGTCAAATGTTGGTAAATTAAAATGTTGACTTTCAGATAGAAAGAACAGGACGCAGAGGGTATCTCTTGTGTTCTGTCCTACCTCGCCAGTGCCAGGAGGGGGGGTTGTACCTTGAAACTTGGAATCTATTCAGTCTTGGCAGGTGGCCAGTGAGGCTCCCTCTATCCCTGGATGGCCGTCGGTGACCCTGGACATGCAGCTGATAATCTATTTGCTGAGCTCTTGCTTGTATCTCAGAACGGAAACCACGCCCCTGCCAAAAGCACGGCTTCATGACAGTGTTTTCAAACTTTGGTGACTGATGAATGGATCAGGAAACTCGGTCATGAAATAGAATGCAAGCAGTTCTGGCCGGTGTGGCTCAGTTGGTTGAGCGTCATCTCATGCCCCAGAAGGTGGCCATTTCAGTTCCTGGGCAGGGCACATGCCCTGGTTGCAGGTTCAATCCCTGTCAGGGTGCGTATGGGAGGCAACCTATCGATGTTTCTCTCTCTCCCTTCCTCTCTTCCTAAAATCAATAAAAAATATTTTAAAAAAGATCATAAAGACTGTTAAGAAAAGAAATAGAATGCAAGTAGTAAGGTAAGCATCGTTTTATGAAACTTTCATGTCAATAGTATATCTACAAGTTCATTCATTCAATCACGTGTTCATTCAATAAGTACCTGTTGAGCACCTCCTATATGCCAGGCACTGGGGATTCAGAAACCAGTGAAACCTACACACGTGCACGCGTGGGCAGGTGCTTGCGAGTGTGTCCTGGATCACGCTGTAGAACCCATCTCTTACTGTGGGCGACGGTCCCACAGCAGAGCAGCCACCACTGCCTTGGTGGCTTCGTAGAAAAGTCATGATACTGAATTCAGTGGCCACTTCCCATGTGTGTCGGGAAGTTACCACAAAAAATGCACAGGCTGTACAGCTGAAACAACACAATGTTAAATGTCAATTAAAAACACAGAGACAGACAGAAGGAAAGCACAGGCCTCTGTCTCCACCCCTTTTCAGCACCAGGGCGCCACGGGCTACTTCATGAGCAGCCCAAGTAGGTGAGGGTCTGAAAGTCAGGCATGAAACTGCGTTTTCTTCCCCAGACTATTGTTAGTGTGAGCGCAGCGATTACTCACGTTCCTCGGTCCACGGAGCCCACCTTCCTCATAGGACTGTGAAGACTCCTCTCTTATGCTCTGCCTCCCCCCCTCCTCCCTGTCCCCCCACCCCCTCCCGCTTTTCCTGCTTTGCTTCCCATTTCCCTCCCTCGAGGTTAATTTTTGTGGTAATTTTCTTCCCTGGGTGCTGTGTGGTGAGAGTTACCTGAGAAACTGGCTGGGGGTGAGGGCAAAGGTTTGTGTTGCCAGGGCCATGCAAGGGGCTCCCTGGGGTGGCACACCTCCTGCCCCGGGAGGGCTGCCTTCTGCCCAGTCCTCCCTCTGTAACCCGGCAACCAAGGGGTCCGGGCTGCCTGTTGCTACTTGAGCCAATTCAGCAGAGACAGGGTTGAATCATACATGAGCGTTTATCCCAATCCTGCCGGCAGCATGGGAGAGCAACAGGTCACTCACAAAAATCTGCTCTGCAGCCCCCCATAAGCCAGCTGGTTACGGTAGAAGGACAAAGATGACCTGGGGGAGTAGGAATTACAGGCGTGGGGAGGTAGGCACGGGATAATCATCACAGGTTTCAAGCCATGTGGGCTGGAGTGGGGTCGCAGAGGGCGGGTGCCTCCAGGTTCCCTGGGACCAGATTACAGGCAATAGGGGAGGGGGTTGTAAAGAGCAGATGCCTCTGGGACTAGCCACGAGGCTGTAAATCCTTCCATAATGAAAGGCGGTTCTCGGGACAGGAGGATGGACTGCATTCCTATGTTAGCTCCCTGTCCCAGGGCGTGCAACTCCCAGCCAGCTTAGAATGTGCTTTCTCTAAGCAGAACAGAACCATCCTGGTTAACAGAGCGTGATTAGTATTTCTTATTATTGAAGCTGGTCCCCAATATTCTGTTTCTGCCCCTAACCCCCCCCCCCCCCCCGCCCCCGGCCCCGCCCCGCACATCCAGTTCTCCAGGGTGTCAGTCCCCAGGGGGCGGAGCTTGTCAGCCCAGCGCAGGGGAGCCTGGGCTGAGCCGGGGAAGCTGGGCCGGGGCTCCAATGCCAGATTGGGCAAGAACAGAGAACCGGCCCCTCTGATCCTGGTCAGGGTGTTTGGAGACACCAACAATTCTGGGAAGTTCAGAGGCAGGAAGTGAAAGGGGGTGGGACGAGGGGAAACCCTGAACTGCACTTCCACCCTCCTGGCCAGGCCTCCCTTCCAAACTGTGCAATGAGGTTCGAGGTGACCGCTTGTAGGGGTGAGGGGGGGCAGCCAGGAGACCCTTTCTCCAGAAAGAACAGAGACAGTCCTGCCCCAGCCCCCACCACGCTTCGCCTGCCTCCCAACTCCATGTCCGCTTCTGTTTACTGTCCAAAGTCCCGGGGTCAGGAGATGCCAGGTTACAGCCACTTGGACATTCAGACACACGGCTCAGGGCCCTCACCTGGACCAGCCCCCTCCCCTCCTCTGTCCTGCTAGCAGCACCTGTCCCGCTTCTCCTGGCTCCAGCTCCTCCTTAGCCTCGGGGCCTGGGCTGCCTGAGGGACCGGGAGTAAGCCCTCCACACCTTTAGCAGGTAACCAAGGTTGGGGAGGCAGGTGGGACTGGGGATGTTTGGTATTTAGGAGACTGTGGTTGAGGGGCAGTGGGGACCGGATGGGAAGATGAGTGTGTGGAGGGAAGGCTCCTCCATGGCCATGCCATCGCCTAAGCCAGTGATGGCGAACCTATGGCACACGTGTCAGAGGTGACACGTGAACTCATTTTTTTGGTTGGTTTTTCTTTGTTAAATGGCATTTAAATATATAAAATAAATACCAAAAATATAAGTCTTTGTCTTACTATGGTTGCAAATATCAAAAAATTTCTATATGTGACACGGCACCAGAGTTAAGTTAGGGTTTTTCAAAATGCTGGCACGCCAAGCTCAAAAGGTTCCCCATCACTGGCCTTAGCAATCATCTGAGAGGGGACAGGACTGGCTGTATTTCAGCCCCAAACTCACCTCTAACCTCAGACCCAACCCAAGCCATCTCCTCGATCTACTCTCACCCTACTTCCAACCCCTCACCAGCCTGCACCTGAGTTAGCATCTCAGCACCAACATCAGCCCCGAACTGAGCCCCAGCCCTAAGAGCAGCCTTGACTCAACCCCAGGTGCAGCTCGGCCCTGGACCCAGCATGGAGAAGGACTTCCAAGACATCCAGCAGCTGGACCCCGAGGAAAATGACCACCAGCTGGGCAGGGGCGAGGGGCCAGGCCCTCATGGACACAGTCCTGGGAGAGAGGATGCATTTTGGAAAGGCAAGTACCCAGTGTCTGGGCTCTGCTTCACCCCCCACTCCTGACCGCTCTGTCTCTCTGAGTCTCTGTGACATTCACTCCGTGGGCAGGACCCAGGCCCCTCCATGCGTGCAGGTGTGTGGTGCCCACACCTCTGTTTACCCCCGACCTCACCTTCCTCTCTACCCTCAGGACCCCAGGAAAGGGTGTGTGCCCAGAGGTGAGGGAGTAAGTGGGAGCTGGAGATGACTTCCTCCCCTCTTCCTTCTGACGAGTGCTGTGTGCAAGGAAATCCCATTCAGCCAGGAGAGCGTCTGTGTATGCGGGAGGGTGTGGGGATGGGTAGGTGGGGCAATGGACACAGAGATATTCTGGAACATTCTCACTCCCCCCAACACCCCCCTCCATCCCCCCCAGATCTTTCTCTGGCAGATCTTGATGGAAGGCCCATGTCTTGGAAATGGGCTTAAGGCAAGAGAGACCCGAGCCATTCTAGGCTGAAGGGCTGGAGCCAGGGGTGGGGAGGGGGTGTCAGTTGTGGTGATGGAGTGAGGCTCTGTGGAGACGGGGGGGGGGGGGGGGGGGCTGGGGCTTGGAGCTCAGGGAGAGGATCTGGTTAGCCTGGGCTGGGAGGAGAGCCGCCTCATTTCTGAGGCTGGCGGACTGTGGAGGCTGCTGCTGTTGCTGGGGGAGCTGGGCAGGGCAGGAGCGGCAGGAGGCACGGACATTTCTACTGAAGGCTGGGCAGTAGGCGGAGGCCTCATCTGTCTCACTCCCTCTGCGTTGTCAGTGCCCACGTGATACCTGGTATGCAGTGAACACTCACAATGATTTGGGATATTGTTGAATCTCCCGAAGGTGGAGGGTTCAGCGTGTAAGCAGGTGGTTTGGAGACAGGCCAGAGGTTTGGGGTTTCATGGGAGAAGGAGCTCACCCCACAGGCCCGATGGAGACACTGCAGGGCACCGCTGAGGTGGTGCAAGCGTCAGTGGGCAGGGGAGCTGGCATCTGCCTCCTGCCTGCCCGCCATCCTCTCCCATGTCCAAGCCCCTTGTATGCCTCTGTTTTCAGCAAATTTGGAAACACTTTGGCCAGTGTCTGCCTCGCCCCCCCTCCCCCTTCCCTCAAGGACTCCAATTCTGCATCTACTAGTGGGCCCACAGTTCCCTGATGCTATTTCCATTTTTAAAAAATGAATTTTTCTCTCGGTGTTTCTTTTTATATAGTTTTAATGCTGTGTCTTAAAGTTTACAAATCTTTCCTTATGTATGTCTAATCTTCCATTAATTCCACCCAGTGTATTTTTTATCTCGTACCCTGTAGTTTTCATGTCTAGAAGTTCAACGTGGGCCTTTTAAATATCCTCCTTGATACTTAACTTTTTGAACATAGGGAGCACAGTTACAATATCTGTTTTAGTGTCCTGTCTGCTAATTCTAACACCTGTGTCAGTTCTGGGTCAGTTTTGATAGATGTATTATCCTTCTTGCTACAAAATGTGTTTTCCTGCTTCTTTGAATGTTTAGGAATCTTTGGTTGGACGCCAGACATTGTGATTCTGCCTCTTGTGTGCTGGATATATTTGTATTCCTCTAAATACTCTTGAGCTTTATTCTGGGATGTAGTTAAGTGACTTGGATCATCTGGTCCTTCTGGGTGTTGCGTTTATGACTTGTCAGGTGGGTCTGGAGCATGGTCGGGGCAAGGGCTTCTCGGGTCCGCTACCCAGTGCCTTGTAGGTTACGTTTTCCAGTCCGGCTGGTGGGAGCAGGCACTGTTCCTGGCCCTGTGTGAGTGCCAGGCACTGCCCCCTAATCCTTGCAGATTGTTTTTGCCTGGTCTTGGTGGTTTTGTTTACTGCCGATGGCTTGAAGGGAACACCACACAGATCTCTGGACTTCTCTGTGCAGCTCTCTCCCCTGATACTTTGTCCTGTGATGTCTCCTTAGACTCTTGGCCCCATCTCCTCAACTGGGGGAGTCTGCTGGGCTCTGCTTGGATTGCCCTCCTCTGCCCCGTGGTCTGAAAGCTTCCCCCAGCACTAGGCGGGGACACTCATAGGCCTCCTCTTGTTCGCCTCCTGTCTCCCGGGGACCATTGCTCTGTGTTGCTTGAAGGCCAGTCCCTTGCAAGTGGTTGTTTCTTATAGTAGCTGTTTCCTATTTTGGTGTCTCTGGGAGGAGGCCCATCTAGTCCTATTGTTCCATAAGGCAGGCCCTTTCTTTTATTTTCCAACTTGCCTGAGCAGCACGTCACACGATTAAACCCATTTCATGCTCAGAACAACCCAATCAGGTAGCTGCTGCTCTTACCCACTTTTTTTCTATTGTGGTAAGAACACGTAATGGGATCGACCCTTTCAACAAAATTTAAAGTGCGCAACACTGCTTGTTAACGAGGCACGGTGTTGTAAGCCGATCTCTAGAACGCACAGGTCTTGTGTAATCATAGCTTTACACCCGCTGAGCAGCAATTCCCGATTTCCCATCCCCAGCCCCTGGCAACCACCATCCCACCCTGTTCCTATGAGTTTGACTGTTGGATAAGTGGACACAAGGAAACTGAGGCGCCAAGAGGTTGAATGACTTTCCCCTGACCTCAGAGCTGGTTGGTGGCACAGTGGGACTTAGCCATGGGTGGTCTGCTGTCCGGACAGAGGTGCGGAGACAGATGATTGAGCCGACCCAGAGTTGAGGTTTTATAGGCCGTAGGTCAGGCTGGGAAGAGGACAAGGGCCGACTAAATGGACAGTATTAGAGCGAGCAGTCAGAGGCCGAGCCAAGGAGTATCAGTCATGAGTGTGAGAGTGAAATGAAAAATGTGTGTGTGTGTGTGTGTGTGTGTGTGTGTGTGTGTGTTTTCAGGATTCAGCTTGACTAAGGGGAGGGAGAGGTTTCTGTGAGATGACTGAGGGCTAGGGGGGAGAGTTGACAGTGAAGGAACAAGGGTTTCTGGGGTGGAAGGGCAGAGACGTGGGAGAGGAGATGAGAGAGGAGGGGACTTGGACAGCAGCCCGTGGGGAGCGGCTTGTGGTGGGATGACCTGGACTGAACATCCCGGGGGAACTGGGTGGTGGTGGTTCCAGTTTTAGACTTGCGTGAGGAGCTCAGGCATGGACCTTAAGAACACAGGGCCTGTTCCCTAGGTCCCCGGGTCTGAGATTGGGCCTTTACACACCGATGATGTGACTATCGGTGTCATGCGCAGGTATGTTGCATGCACTTGTAGGTGTGAGCATATGCATGTGTTCATGTGGGTGCCAGTGTGCAAATGCATGCGTGTGCAATGCTGAAACACTAGGGTCAAAGCCATAGTTTTCCCACCCACCTGGGCTGTACTTCCTGAGACTTCTGCTCCCCTGGATGCTCCCGTTAGGTGGGCTCTGGACAGACCTCCTCCTGACACCCTTTCCCTCGCAGGAGCGCCCCCTCCCCAGCCCCTTCTGCTGCGGACTCTCTGCTCCAGCTTCTGGCTCAGCCTGCTGGTCCTGGGCTTCAACGTCCTGCTGCTGGTGGCCGTCTGCGTGATCGGGTCTCAGAGTGAGGATCGATCGCAGAGGCCAGTGGGATGGGCTGTGATGGGAGGAGATACGGGCAGTGCTGGGGGAGGTGCTGGGGGCGGTGCTGGGGGCAGTGCTGGGGCAGTGGTGGGGGCAGTGCTGGGGGCTGTGCTGGGGGCGGTGCTGGGGGCAGTGGTGGGGGCTGTGCTGGGGGCGGTGCTGGGGGCAGTGAGAGCTACAGCAGGGGAAGACTTGGAGGCAGTAAGGAGCAGTGCTGGGGGCGGTGATGGGGGCAGTGCTGGGGCAGTGGTGGGGGCAGTGCTGGGGGCTGTGCTGGGGGCGGTGCTGGGGGCAGTGCTGGGGGCAGTGCTGGGGCAGTGGTGGGGGCAGTGGTGGGGACTGTGCTGGGGGCGGTGCTGGGGGCAGTGAGAGCTACGGCAGGGGAAGACTTGGAGGCAGTAAGGAGCAGTGCTGGGACGGTGAGGGGAGGTGGGGGGGACGGTGCAATGACAGTGATGAGGCTGTCACCTGGGGCACAGTCCCCTCCACTTTGCCCAGTGCCCTCTCTCTCCTGACAAGGAGCACAGATGCAAAGGGAGTTTTGGGCCCTAAAAGACGCTTTCAGCAACTTCTCCGCCAGCACCCTCGCCGAGATCCAGACGCTCAGCTTCCATGGTGAGAGCGCTCCCCAGCCGGGAGGGCCAGTGGGGGGGTAGTTGAGGCACCCTCTTAGCAGCACAGGCTGGATTCCGAGGTGGGTGCCCCGTGCTGGGTCTGCAAAGGGGCGTGTCTGAGGTGTGTGGGCGGATACCCCAGTGGATCCCTGGGCTGAGGGAGCCTGAAGGATGGGTAGGCAGGTGAAGAGGAGGGGGCTTAGTGCCAGGTAGAGAGAACGAATCTGCCAAGGAGGTGGGCAGGGCCAGGCCACGGAAGAAGCTGTGTGAATACAGCGAGGCTTCCTTTTGAGAAGATGGGGACCTAGGGAAGGGATTCAGGCAGGGGAGCGGCCTGAGCAGGTTTGTTCCTCAGAAAGCCGGGTGGCAGCGCAGGGAGCCCGGGGGGCAGAGCCGGTGACGCAGGTGAAGGCGATGGTGGCTGGTGCTCCAGGGGGTGAGCATGGAGGGTGGAAGGAGGCTGAATGGAGGAAACCCACTCAGCTTTCCTCTTTCTCAGGAGGCAGCACAGGTGACAAAGTGACATCTCTGGAAGCCAAGCTGGAGAAACAGCAGCTGGAGCTGAGAGCAGGTCTGAGAGCCCCGCCCCCCTTGGTGTGTGGTGTGGGGTGTGGTGTAAGTGATGTGTGTGTGTTGTTGTGTGTATGAGTGTGAGTGTGTGTGTGTCCTGTGTGGGGCGCTGGTAGATGGGGCGCCCGCACTGCCCACACCCGGGCCTGTTGCTCCGTCCCCTAGATCACACCACCTTGCTCTTTCACCTGAAGCACTTCCCAGCTGACGTGCGCATCCTGTCCTGTCAGATGGCCTTCCTGCGAAGCAACGGTAGGGAAGGGAGCCTCCAGGCCCAGTGCGCCTGCCCCTCCAGCGGGACCTCACCTCCCTGCCCACTCATCCTGCAGGCACGGAATGCTGCCCGGTTAACTGGCTGGAGTATGAAGGCAGCTGCTACTGGTTTTCTCGCTCTGGATTGACCTGGACCGAGGCCGAGAAGTACTGCCAGCTGGAGAACGCCCACCTGGTGGTCATCAACTCCAGAGAGGAGCAGGTGAGGCCCCACCTCCCCAGGCAGGAGGCGCCTCTGGAATGCGAACCCTGGGTGGCTGGATCAGCGCTTTATTATTATTATAAAAATACTAGAGGCCCAGTGCATGAAATTCATGCACTTGGGGGGGGGGCGTCCCTCAGCCCAGCCTGTGCCCTCTCACAGTCCAGGAACCCTCAGGGGATGTCCGACTGATGGCTTAAGTGCATCAGGGAGCGGGCCTAAGCCGTCAGTCGGACATCCTTAGCGCTGCCGCGGAGGCTGAAGAGGCTCCCGTCACCACTGATGCACTGGCCAGCGGTGCATCAGCTTCTGGCTGAGTAGCGCTCCCCCTGTGGGAGTGCACTGACCACTAGGAGGCAGCTCCTGCATTGAGTGTCTGCTGCCTGGTGGTTAGTGCACATCATAGAAACAGGTTGTTCTGCCAACAGGCTGAAACCGGTTCTCCAACATCCTCCAAAGGGTCCTAGATTGTGAGAGAGCACAGGCCAGGCCGAGGGACCCTACAGGTGTACGAATCAGGGCTGGGGAGGGATGCGGGAGGTTGACCAACTGGAGGGACCATGGGCAGGCTCCAGGGCATGTCCAGCCTGTCTTGCTCAGTCCCAAACGGCCAGACCCCAGAAGCAAGCTAACCTACTGGTCGGAGTGTCTGCCCCCTGGTGGTCAGTGCATGTCATAGCAAGCAGTTGAGTGGCCTTAGCATATTATTAGCATACTAGGGGCCTGGTGCACGAAATTCGTGCACTGGGTGTGTGTGTGGGGGAGTGTCCCTCAGCCCAGCCTGCCCCCTCTCACATACTGGGAGCCCTCAGGCGTTGACCCCCATCACCCTCCAATCGCAGGATCGGCCCCTTGCCCAGGCCTGATGCCTCTGACAAAGGCATCAGGCCTGGGCAGGGGACCCTCATTTCCCCCCATCACTGGTTCTGCCCCCAGCCCAGGCCTGATGCCTCTGGCCCAGGCATCAGGCCTGGGCAGGGGACCCCCAGACCCCTCTGATTGCTGGCTCTGCCCCTTGCCCAGGCCTGATGCCTCGACCAGAGGCGTAGACCCCCATCACCTTCCGATCGCCTGATCGGCCCCTTGCCCAGGCCTGACGCCTCCGCCAGAGGTGTCAAGCTTGGACAGGGGACCCCCATCTCCCCCCGATCACTGGCTCTGGCCCCTGCCCAGGCCTGAGGCCTCTGGCCCAGGAATCATGCCTGGGCAGGGGACCCCCATCTTCCCTCTGATCGCTTGCGCCACCCCCCGCCCAAGCCTGATGCCTCTGACCCAGGCTTCAGGCCTCGGCAAGGGGACCATCATATCCCCCCAATCCCCGGCTCCGCCCCTCACACAGGCCTGATGCCTCTGGCCCAGGCATCAGGCCTGGGCAGGGGACCCCCAGCTCCCCGCGGTTGCAGGCTCTCCCCCTGCCCAGGCCTAACGCCTCTGGCCTAGGCATCCGGCCCGGGCAGCGGGGACCTGCAGTGGCAGCGGGGGGCGCTGTGATCACGCGGGCTCCGCCCCTGCCCCTGCAGGACGCCTCTGGCTGAGGCTTCTGGCCCAGGCAGTGGGGACCCGCAGCTGCAGCGGCCCCGCGATCGTGGGCTTCGCTTTAGGCCCAGGCAAGGGACCCTTAGCTCCTGGGACTGCCAGCTTCGACCGTGCCCAGCTCCCATCGCTGGCTCCACCCCTACTTCCTGCTATCACTGGCCAGGGCGGAAAAGGCACCTGATTCTCCGATCACAGCTGGGGGGCAGGGCAAAGGCGGCCCCAGGGCTGCCTTTGCCCTGCCTCCCAGCTCTTAGCTCCCCCCCTGGGTTTCCGATTACTGTCAGTGGCAGGGGGCTTCTTCCTGCTTTCCCTTTTGCCTCCCTGCATTGTGCCTACATATGCAAATTAACCGCCATCTTGTTGGCAGTTAACGGCCAATCTTAGTTGGCAGTTAATTTCATATAGCCCTGATTAGCCAATGAAAAGGGTAGCGTTGTACGCCAATTACCATTTTTCTCTTTTATTACTGTAGATTACACTTTGATTGGTTGAATGGCCGACTGGATGACCGGACACTTAGCATATTAGGCTTTTATTATATAGGATATATGTATTGATTTCAGAGAGGAAAAAAGAGGTAGAGAGAGACAGAAACATCAATGATGAGAGAGAATCATTGATCGGCTTCCTCCTGCACACCCCACACTGGGGATCGTGCCCACATCCTGGACATGTGCCCTGACTTGGAATTGAACTGTGATCTCCTGGTTCATAGGTCATTGCTCAACCACTGACCCACACCAGCCAGGTGTTTTTATTATTATTATTTTAAAATATTTTTATTGATTTCAGAGAGGGAGAAGGAGAGAGAGATAGAAACATCAATGATGAGAGAAAATCATTGACCAGTTGCCTGCTGCACACCCTCTGCTGGGGATCCAGCCTGCAACCTGGGCATGTGCCCTTGACTGAATTGAACCTGAGACCCTTCAGTCCGCAGGCAGATGCTCTATGAACTGAGCCAAACCAGCTAGGGCCACTTTAAAAAATTTTTTTAACCTGGGGAAGAGTCCAGAAGCAGCAGGCTGGCAGAACGCTGGGCGGTTCATAGTGGAGCAGCCACTGATCTCAGAGGTGGAAGGTTACAGCCAGGAGCTCAGGCAAAGGGGCAGCAGCCAGGTGAGCAGGGGGTGAGGGGCAGTCAGGAGACAGAACGCAAAGACCAACTAATTAAAGGCAGGACTCGGCTGCAGAGCGCCGAGGGGCACTGAGAGCCCTTCTCGCTGTGTGCCGGCCTGGCATGTGGCGGGCAGCTGGGTGAAAGGAGCAGAGAGGGCAGGATTCCCGTCACATAGTAAAGACTCAGCAAATGTTACCACGAAGATCCTCTTGAAAAAACGGCCCCGCCTATTCTAACAGGCTGGCTCTTCCCTGTGAACGATGGTGCTTGGGTTGTGGTGTGGTGGTGGCAGTGGGCAGGTGAGACCTGCAGCGCCATCTGGGGCTCTGGGCGGTGGGTCCAATTGGAAGCCCCAGGACCCGGTGAACCTCTGGAGATGACAGCTACACAGAAGCAGGGGCGGGGCAGAAGCCTCTGAGTGGCGGGTGACACCGATAGCTCCGTGGGCCAGTCAGGATCCCGAGTTTGAGGTTGTGGGCAGAAGACAAGGAGAGGACTTGTGTTGGGGTAGCAGCCAGGGGTTGAGGATGAAGTAGGGGCGTCACAAACAGCACTGCATTGACTTAGGGGGCTCTACCAGCCACCGCGAGGTCCTTAAATCAGAAGCATGAGAGGGCTTCTGAGGGTTAGATAAAATAATACCCATGAAGCATGCAGCATGGGCTTCCGCCCAGTAAATGATCTCGGAACAATAGCTAAGGCGACAAAGGAAAAAGCGAGGACCTAATTTCGCTGGGGGCTGATGCTTCACCTTGGGGCAGTTCAGGCTGGGCAGGCAGAGGGCCCCCAGCTAATGCCTGCACCGAGCAGAAGGGCCAGTGATGGCGAACCTATGACACGCGTGTCACAGGTGACACGCGAGCTCATTTTTTTGGTTGATTTTTCTTTGTTAAATGGCATTTAAATATATAAAATAAATATCAAAAATATAAGTCTTTGTTTTACTATGGTTGCAAATATCAAAAAAATTTCTATATGTGACACGGCACCAGAGTTAAGTTAGGGTTTTTCAAAATGCTGACACGCCGAGCTCAACAGGTTCGCCATCACTGATCTAGACACTCCATTCCACCTGTTTTCCAGAGATTCATTGCACAGCACTCGAGCCCCTTTCACACCTGGATAGGACTCACTGAGATCGATGGCTCCTGGAAGTGGGTGGACGGCACAGACTATGGGAACAGCTACAGGTAAGTGCCCCCTCCCCACCCCACCCATCCTTAGGGACCAAATTCCCCAACCCTCTCCCCGGCAGACTCCCACCTGCTCCTTTCTGTTCCCTGAACTGTCCGAGGCTGTACTTTTTTATTTTTTATTTCAGAGAGGAAGGAAAAGGGAGAGATAGAAACGTCAATGATGAGAATCACTGATCAGCTGCCTCCTGCAAATCACACACTGGGGACCCAGCCTGCAACCCGGGCATGTGCCCTGACCGAGAATCAAACTGTGACCTTCTGGTTCATAGGTCAATGCTCAACCATAGAGCCACACGGCTGGGCAAGGCTGTGCTTTTGTGAGGTGGGTGAGGGTTGCTGGGATGGGTGGTCAGTTTGAGCTCTGTCCTGCATTCCTAGGAACTGGGCCTTTGGTGAACCAAACAACTGGCAGGGGCACGAGGAGGGCGGAAATGAAGACTGTGCCGAACTCCGGGATGATGGGCGCTGGAACGACGATTTCTGCCTGCAGGTGCAGCGCTGGGCGTGCGAGATGACTCGCAACATCACCGGCTAGGAGCCCTGACCCCAGCAGATCTCCACCTGCACCCCAACCCTACCCTGCTCCCAGCGTCTCTACTGGGGACTTGGAAGAAAGGAAGAACAGGCAGAGGCATTGGGAGGAGCTGAGGGAAGATGGAACAGAATGGTTTCAGAATCTCAGACCCCGGGACACAGATCCCGCCTCCTCCTGCCACTCACTGTGAGGGCTACCATGTCCAGCCTCCTCGGTGGAGAAGGAAAAAATAAACGAAACACTTGACACTCTGTGTGGACTGGTTATTGGGAACTGGGAATGCAGGGTGCAAAGAAGACGGGGCGCAGAGGGTCTGGGAGGAGGTTTAGTCCTAGGCAGCTTCTCCTGGGTCCCCATTCCTGAGGGACATGGACCCTGGAGGGGAGGGAAGAGCTGGGAGCAGAAGCATTCAGTGGAAGGCACATGGGCTGGAGGTGCGGAAGGAGCTGGGCTGGGACGGGGCTGGCGGGAGGGGCCGCCCACAGCCTGAGGGGCACCTGAGGGAAGCACTTTCCCTGCAGCTGGGGTCTCCTCCAGAAGAGGCTTCAGGGGCACCCCACACCCTTCAGCCTGGGAGCTGTGGCCTGGGCCGCAAGGCCAGCGAAGAATGTTGTAAGAGAGGGAGGGCTGGTGGCACCCTGTCCTGCTGTTTTCAGCGTGGCGGCCTCTTTGTGACCCAAACAGATCTAGACGGATGTCCAGCACAGGGTGTCCCCGACATGTCCACAGCGGGCAGACCTCATCCTCCAACATCATCCAAAACCAACCTTAGAAGGGTCTTCAAGCAATTCCATTTCTCTTTTACTCTTATTACAAAAGTAACATATACAATTAGTGAAAAATGTTTTAAAGACACACACACACACACACACACACACACACACACACACACACACACACACAAAGAGATTTATTACAAGGAATTGGCTCCTGTGATTATGGAGGTTGACAGGCCCAAGTCCTGGGGTGAGCAGACCAGCTGGAGGCCCAGGGGAGCCGATGGTGGGAAGACAAAGGCAGCAGCCCGAACGCCCAGGGGGTGATGTCTCCCCTGAGTCCAAAGGCAGGAAAAGCCAGTGTCCCCATTCGGAGCGGGTCAGGCAGGCGGACCTCTCTGGGGTCACGGAGGCTCAGCCTCTGGTTCCATGCAGGGCTCCAACGGTGGGAGGAGGCCCACCCTTGGGGAGAGCAATCTGCTTTCCCAACTCAAACGTTCCTCTCGTGGAAACACCCTCCCAGGTGCACCCAGATAGACTGACCCGATTCCAGGCACCTGTGGCCCAGTCACGTGGACATGAACGGTTTCCCGTGGGTGTGCCCTGCGTATGTGCACATTTGCAACACTGCACTGCACTACGCAGCCGCTTTCCCGCTCTCCCGGGCCTTGTGCACTTTGATCCAATCCTTGCTACTCCGTGGAACTTAGCAAGTGTGGAGAATCCCAAAATATGGATGTGCCCTATGTTAGCTACTCATTCCCCGTGGTATATAAGGAGATGGCATTTTTGTATGTTTTCACACATAATATTTCAAGCAAATTTTGCTTCTAAGCCTGTGATAGGTAAAGTCTTCCTGATTATCAGTTGCAAAATTTTCTGGGATTTCTCCTTCCAAATGTATATGATTGGCATGAGGTAAAAAGGAATCATGGAGCCCTAGCTGGTTTGGCACATTGGATAGATAGAGCGTATGGACTGAAGGGTCCTGGGTTTGATTCTGGTCAAGGGCACATGCCCGGGTTCCGGGCTCAATCCCCAGCAGGGGGCGTGCAGGAGGCAGCTGATCAATGATTCTCTCTCATCATTGATGTTTTCATCTCTCCATTCTTCTCTGAAATCAATAAAAATTATGTAAGTAATAATACATACAAGTAAAGTCTTGTGAGGCTAGAAAAAGCCATTTCTGCTGTTTAGACAAACCACTCAGTGCTTTTTAGCTGTTTCTTCCAGTGACATCTCAATTTCTAGATAATGTACATAAACAGATATATCTTTATATACCAATGGTTGACATTATTTAGTTCTACCCTGTAGATAAGGTACAATCTTTCAACTGAGTTTACAATAATTGCTATTTTAATCGTAATTCAGAATGTGTATCATTACCACTATGGCTGCGTCAGTAGTGGTAACTGCTGAGCCAAGTAGGACCAGCTGATTACATTTCCTTTCTTGCACAACTTTTGTTTCTTCTGAAGTTTATAATTATTTAAAAGAACATGCTCCATATTCTTTGAACCTATTGTGAAATCTTCCTTAACTGTAAAGTCTGGCAGTATAATCATCTACACGTGCAAACTGGTCATAGAACTGGTATTTCAGTTGCACTTTTTTCCTAGAGTCACAGGGGTGAATGGAAATTTTATAAAAATTTTTATATAAAAATATTATATAAATTCATGACTGCCGGGGTCCAACCCCAGCAGGTCCAGGGGTCCCCAAAGGCGTAGACGGAGTCGGTGAAGAAGGAATGACGCGGAGACAGTGTTCAGTTGATCAGCAGCCTAGCCAGGATCTCCAGCCAGGATCTCCAGCCAAGTTCTGGTCTGGATCTCCAGAGAGGTTCTGCTTAGGATCTCCTGCCAGGGTCTGTGTCCATGTTCTCTTGCTAGGTTCTCCAGGTTCTCCAGCCAGGTTCTGTAGCCATGTTCCCTCGCTAGGTTCTCCAGCCAGGTTCTGTAGCCATGTTCCCTCGCTAGGTTCTCCAGCCAGGTTCTGTCCAGGTTCTCCAGCCTGGTTCAGTCACCAAGTTCTAGTCAGGTTCTCTTGCCATGTTCTATAGTCAGGTTCAGTCCAGGATCTTTTGCCATGTTCTCTTGCTAGGTTCTGTCTCTAGATTCTGTGTAGGTTCTGTGTCTAGGTTCTGAGTGTAGGTTCTGTCTTCTTACATCTGTATTTATACCAGTTGATTCCAATCCTATCAATCTCTATTACAAAGGTTAGGGGGTTTCTTTTTTTTTGTTATGATTTTTTTTTTAATTAAATCTTTATTGTTCAGATTATTACATTTGTTCCTCTTTTTTTTCCCCCCATAACTCCCCTCCTCCCAGTTCCCGCCCCACCCTCCGCCCTCACTCCCCACCCACTGTCCTCATCCATAGGTGCACGATTTTTGTCCAGTCTCTTCCCGAATCTCCCACACCCCTTTCCCCCACAGGAATAGTCAGTCCATTCCCTTTCTATGTCCCTGATTCTATTATAATCACCAGTTCATTCTGTTCATCAGATTATTTATTCACTTGATTCTTAGATTCACTTGTTGATAGATGCATATCTGTTGTTCATAATTTGTATCTTTACCTTTTTCTTCCTCTTCCTCTTCTTAAAGGATACCTTTCAGCATTTCATATAATCCTGGTTTGGTGGTGATGAACTCCTTTAGCTTTTCCTTATCTGTGAAGCTCTTTATCTGACCTTCAATTCTGAATGATAGCTTTGCTGGATAAAGTAATCTTGGTTGTAGGTTCTTGGTATTCATCACTTTGAATATTTCTTGCCACTCCCTTCTGGCCTGCAAAGTTTCTGTTGAGAAATCAGCTGACAGTCGTATGGGTATTCCCTTGTAGGTAACTGGGTTTCTTTCTCTTGCTGCTTTTAGGATTCTCTCTTTGTCTTTTGCTCTTGGCATTTTAATTATGATGTGTCTTGGTGTGGTCCTCTTTGGATTCCTTTTGTTTGGGGTTCTCCACGCTTCTTGGACCTGTAAGTCCATTTCTTTCACCAGGTGGGAGAAGTTTTCTGTCATTATTTCTTCAAATAGGTTTTCAATATCTTGGTCTCTCTCATCTTCTGGCACCCCTATAATTCTGATGTTGGTACGCTTGAAGCTGTCCCAGAGGCTCCTTACACTATGCTCGCATTTTTGGATTCTTTTTTCATTTTGCTTTTCCGGTTGGGTGTTTTTTGCTTCCTCGCATTTCAAATCATTGACTTGATTCTTGCGCTCCTCTGGTCTGCTGTCGGGAGTCTGTATAATATTCGTTATTTCAGTCCGTGTATGCTTAATTTCTAGTTGGTTCCCCAATATAAGATCGAGGGTCTCATTAGTTTTCTTGTAGATCTCATTAAGTTTATCGGCGGCTTCTAAACAGTTCTTGAGAGACCTTAAAAGTGTGGTTCTGAACTCTATATCTTCCATTGACAATTTTGTCCTGTTTCTTTGTCTCCGCATTTTGTTATGCTTCCTTGGTGCACCCCCTAGTGGTCTTTGTTCGAAGTCTTATAGTTGAATCTTGATTGTTGTAGCTAATTCCAGGGAGGGTTTGACCTCCAGGCCACGTGGCTATGAGAATCAGCTGTGTCAGCAGTGAGAGAACTTCTGTCCTCTAGGGAGGTGCTAATCTAGCCTTTGCCTGAGGCTATCCGGCAAATGCCTCTGTTCAGGGCTTGGGCGGGGCGGGTCGAACAGGATCAACAGGGTGGGCCGGAGAGAGCAGTTATGGCGGCTCTCAGTACTGTCCCCAGGGGCTCTGCCTCTCTGAGTCCCAGCACCCGCTGCAAAGCTCAGAGAGAAAGCTGCACTCGCTCTGACCGAAGCAAGACAGTCCCGCTTCTCCCGTTTGAGTCTTGGTCCCTAAAGACTCGCCTGGATCTGGAGCTCAGAGTCTGCGACTCCCTCCCGATTGAAAACGCCAACCGCGCCCTCCGCCCCCAGCCCACTCTGCGCACTCCGCACCTCAGAATTTGACTTCAGCACTGTGCCTCCTCTGAGTGTCCGTATGCGTTTCTCTTTCCTCCTAGTTGTAGGACTTCCACTCAGCCGGTGTTCCTGTGGTTCTGGGTGCTGTCCCTTCCGTTTTTTGGTTTCACTTTTGAAGTAGTTGTTCAAAGCAGCAAACTCCGGCGTTAACCTATGCCGCCATCTTGGTTCTCAGGGCGTTTCTTATCTCCATTCCAGGGAGTAAAGATTATGTAGCTTAAGTATGATTGTTCATAGTTAAAGTGATTAATTACCTGCCTGGCACTTAGTTAAGAGGTTTTATTCCCTCCCTAACTTCAGGGGAAAATCCCTACCTGGGGAAACAACCTTTCTCAGAGACCTTGGTTAAAACACATAGTGCCAAGAAGGTGAGCAAACATATTAAGAACAGTATGCCATATATGCCAGGTCCCTTGAAACAGCAAGCATGGACCGGCTCCCGGCACATGACCACCAGAGGGCAGCTCCTGCATTGAGCATCAGTCCCCTAGTGGTCAGTGAGCATCATAGCGGCCGGTCATTCTGCCGTTTAGCCAATTTGCATATTAGCATTTTATTATATAGGAGGATCACCAGTGTATGAATGATCCAGATTGCTCACATCTTCACCTGCATTTGGTTGCTAACACTATTTTAAAATTTTAGCCATCTTGGTGAGTGTGTAATGAAATAATACTGTGGTTTTAATTTGCATTTCCCTGATGGCTAATAATTTGTACAATTTTCTTGTGCTTATTTTCTTTTTAAAATTATATTTTTAGCCCTGACCGGTTTGGCTCAGTGGATAGAGTGTCGGCCTGCGGATTGAAGGGTCCCGAGTCCGATTCCGGTCAAGGGCATGTACCTTGGTTGTGGAGGAGGCAGCTGATGGATGTTTCTCTCTCATCAATGTTTCTAACTCTCTGTCCCTCTCCTTTCCTCTCTGTAAAAAATCAATAAAATATATTAAAAAAAATATATATATATATATATGTTGATTTCAGAGAGGAAGGGAGGAGAGAAATAGAAATATCAATGATGAGAGAGAATAACTGATCAGTTGCCTCCTGCACAACCCGCACTGGGGATTGAGCCAGAAACCCGAGCATGTGCCCTGATGGGGAATCGAACCGTGACCTCCTGGTTCATAGGTTGACACTCAATCACTGAGCCACGCCGGCCGGGCCCATGTGCTTATTTTACATCTGTAATTCTCTTTGAAGGAATGTCTTTTCGTGTGTGTGCGTGTGTGTGCGTGTGTGCGTGTGTGCGTGTGTTCGTGCATGTGTGCGTGTGTGTGCGTGTGTGTGTGTGTGTGTGTGTGTGTGTTTGCCAATTTCCAATTGGATTATTTGTGTTTTGTTTTTTCACTGTTGAGTTTTGAGAATTCCTTGTATAGTCTTGATGTCAGTTTTTAAAAAAGGTATATATTTTATTATTGATTTTTTAGAAAGGAATAGAGAGTTAGAAACATTGATGAGAGAGACACATCGATTGGCTGCCTCCTGCACACCCCCTACTGGGGATGTGCCCACAACCAAGGTACATGCCCTTGACTGGAATCGAACCTGGGACCCTTCAGTCCGCAGGCCGACGCTCTATCCACCGAGCCACACCGGTCAGGGCTTGATGGCAGTTTTTGGGGGCTATGTAGTTTGCGAATATTTTCTCCAAGTGTGCAGCTTGTCTTTCTGTCTTCGTGACAAAGATCCATTTCCGAAAAGACTAATGTGATAAATACAATCTTGGCAATCTCAATTCAGGAACAGAAAAGTGACAACCACATAAAATAGGAAGTTAATGACACTTTTTCTGTTTTCATGGAAATTTTGCTGGGTTACTGAAGCTGAAAATGACTATTGGTAAAAGCCCAGACATTAAAACAGGAGTTGAACCCATGTAGGCAGAGGGGAAAACAAGCAACCACCACTCTTCCCAGCCTCTGTAAGAGAGGAGGGAGTTAAGGAGACTATTTCAAGGAAATTTCAGATCTAAACCTGGGCTGGAGCTGTCCCATTCATCAGCGAATCAGGCTATACTTGGCCATCTGCCAGGACAAGGAGGCCTAGTGGACTCCGTGGATGTCAGGCTTGAGCCATATCGGAAGTGAGGCTGAAAGCGACTGTGGGTGACAGCTGCCATCTGGTCAGGAACCCATGGTGACCATTACAGAGGAAGCCAGAGAGTTCATGGTCCTCCTGAGGGACTTCCATGGTGAGAGGGTCCCCTAGGGCGGTGATGGCGAACCTATGACACGCGTGACAGAGATGACACGCAAACTCATTTTTTTGGTTGATTTTCTTTGTTAAATGGCATTTAAATATATAAAATAAATATCAAAAACATAAATGTTTGTTTTACTATGGTTGCAAATATCAAAAAATTTCTATATGTGACAGGGCACCGGAGTTAAGTTAGGGTTTTTCAAAATGCTGACACGCTGAGCTCAAAAGGTTCACCATCACTGCCCTAGGGGGTCTCGAAGGCACCAAAGGATCCAATGAGAGGCTGGTGTTGGATGCCTGCTGTGAAGAACATCTTGACCACCACAGTAGCACCAGGTCACGGGCCTCTTTTCCTTGTGTTCCTTTTTAAAACAAATTTGATATGCTGTATTTTAATTGTAGTTGAGTTCAAAATTAGTTCCTTGTTTCTCTTGAGACTTTGTCTATGATCCATGGATTATTTAGAAACAGGTTGCTTAATTCCTGGGTTCTGGTGATTTTTAAATTACATTGCTGTTATTGATTTCTAGTTAAATTCCATTATGATCTGAGTACATATGTTATAAAATTTTAATTTGTTCACGTTTGTTGTATGATACATGATATGATATATCTTCAAGCTCAGTTCTATGTAGTACTTACAATTAATGTGTATTCTGCGGTTTTAAGGTGGCATTTATGGACTAGAAATGTCAGAGAAATTACATATAAACACAATGCAAGTGTGATCTGAATGCCAATTCACTTTTTGGGAACAGAATAAAATAACTTTACTATTCAATAGAACAATAAAAGATACACAGTGTGGGAAACTGATGTAGGGTTGAGCCTCGGACTGACCTGCTGGCAAAGTCACAAACAAGTCCCAGCTTAGAGGGCTCAGTCCTCTAAGCATAATTGGGCTTGACCTTATAACATTCCCCAGATCTTACCTGGGAAGCTAATGGGCTAAGGGAAGTGCAGGGAGTGTAAACATGATCAAAACAGGTGAAACTCACAAGAACTGTAACTATGGTAACCACTGCATTGTTTACCTCAGACTATAAAAGGTCGGTGCGGCCTGAGCACGGATGGAAGTCCTTCCTCTTGAGGTGGACTTACCCGCCTGGTCCCCCAATATTTCCAAATTCTCTCTTGTCTTTTCTATTTCATTTGTGTGTGGTCCCTCTTCCAGATATTGAACCCTGAACCACGTGGGACGTGGAGGGAAACATTTACGACATCTGGCGCCCGAGGGGAACTCTGGAAGTGAAGGTTTCACTAGAGCGGAAAAAACGAAGTTTCACTGGCAAAGTGAGGAACAAAGAATTCACCGTAAAGGTAGGAAAATTCACCGTAAAGGTGAGGGGTTATTTCACCGCACACAAACGGCCACAATCAGCTATAGTAGTCCGGAGCTGTAGGCGGTACGGGAACATTTTCTCAACCAGGCTAACGGGGCAGGATTTGGTTTAAAAAAAAAAAAAAAAAAGATTCGGCTTTAAAAAGTAAGAAGAAGGTACATTTGATCTTGAAAGTTTGCCAAAAAGTAAGTCAGAACTTGAAAAAAGTTCAGCAAGCAGGGAAAAACTTATCTTAAAAAACAAAAAACAAACAAAAACACACAAAAACAAAACAAAACTGTTTTTCCATGGGGAACACAATAGTGCGTTTGCTAGAGCCTTTTAGAGAGGCTGGGAAGGAGCCTCCTTGCCTGGTTCCCTCCGGCCTCCTAGAGGGAGCAGGAAGAAGAATTGGAGGAATGGCCTTCACGGCGCCCTCCACCTCCACGTCCTAATCCTGAAATGTTTAACTTGCCACTAATAGAATCTCCTGTGCAAAAAGCCATCAGAGAAGGATGGAAGGACATGCTGGCGGAAGAAAGGTTTGCATTTCCTGTCATACAGGTAGCTGACCCACAGCTCCCGAATCAGATAACAAGACACCATGAAAAAAAATTGACTTTCAAATGATAAAGGCCAAAAAAAAAAAAAAAAATAAAAAGATAAAGGCCTTACGTGAAAGTGTAGTTCAAAATGGTCCAACCGTTCCTTTTACAGGAGAAATTATGAATAATATTTCTGAAGCATTCTTAATTCCTTATGATTGGTACTCTCTAGCAGCTAGAGAGCAAACTACAGCCCGCGGGCCCGGCCCGTTTGAAATGAATAAAACTAAAAAAAAAAAAAAAAAAAAAAAGACCGTACCCTTTTATGTAATGATGTTTACTTTGAATTTATATTAGTTCACACAAACACTCCGTCCATGCTTTTGTTCCGGCCCTCCGGTCCAGTTTAAGAACCCACTGTGGCCCTCGAGTCAAAAAGTTTGCCCACCCCTGGTCTAGCTCATGCAACTGTGGATGGAGGAGATTATTTACTATGGAAGGGAGAATTTCTGGAGAAATGCCAGGAGCAAGCCCACACAAACTGAGGGCTGAATGCTCAAATAACTTAGGAAATGCTAGCAGGACTGGGACAATATAATGACGTGCAAACTCAGTTAAATTATGTGCAGATGGCATATGAGGAAATTAGACTTTGTGGAAGGAAAGCTTGGTGGGCTTTACCAGCAAAAGGGGACCCTGAGGGAGCTTTTAGTAAATGCATGCAGGGGCCTTTAGAATCATTTTCTGATTTTGTGGCTCGTCTCACTCGAGCAGTGAGATGACAGATTCAACAGGAGATAGCAGGAGATATTTTAATTCAGCAATTAGCTTATGAAAATGCCAATGAGGACTGTAAGAAATGCCTGATGCCTCTGAGAAAAGGTAATACCATTACAGAAATGATTCGAGCATGTCAGAATGTGGGGTCAGGCACTTTTCTAGCAAATGTACTCGCCGCCGCTGTAACCGTAAAGAATAATAAGTGTTATAACTGTGGGAAAACAGGACATTTTAGAAAAGAATGTAGGCAATTAAGAAGGACAGAAGGTGGCACTCTAGGGAAAGGCGCGAACATCCCGCCTCTTGAGCCGATCAACACAAATCCAACCTCTCGGTGTCCTAGGTGCCAGAAGGGCTACCATTGGGCCAGCCATTGTAAATCAAGATTCCATAAAAATAGTTGTATCAAGACACAGGGTATGGCCAACCGCAGGGAAATGGCCAGAGGGGCTGCCCCCAGCCCCGTCATTAAAAGGGGAGATCTGCCCTGCAAAGCCCACAGTGGACTCTCTGATCCGGACCACTCCAGGGAGCGCAGGCCTAGATCTTAACAGTACTATAGCGGTCACTTTGACCCTAGATATGGCTCGGCAAGCTGTTCCTACAGGAATCTGGGGACCTGTGCCACCGGGAACTTTAGGATTAATTTTAGGGAGGAGTGGAAACACTCTGAAAGGATTAACTGTTTTGCCTGGGGTCACAGATTCAGACTATGAGGGAGAGATTAAGGTTATATTAGAATGCAATCACATTGTGCGAATTACTCCAGGACAAAGGATTGCTCGGATACTTTTACCTTATGTCCAGCAAGGTGAGGCCATAAACAGGAAAAGAGGGACGCAAGGGTTTGGAAGCTCAGACATCTATTGGATACAGGAAATTAGCAAAACCCGTCCTATGATTAATCTGCGGATAGAAGGAAAAGTGTGTAAGGGCTTATTAGACACTGGGGCAGATGTCAGCGTTATCAGCAAAGAATTCTGGCCTCCAAGTTGGTCCGTGGTAGAAGCTATGGACTCAATTAGGGGGTGGGAGTTCTTGATAACACACAACGTAGTGCTGCAGTCTTAAGGTGGCAAGATGAGGAAGGACAGACAGGATGGTTTCAGCCCTACATTGTCTCTGGAATTGCAGTCAATTTGTGGGGCCGAGATGTCTTAGAAGGTTTACAAGCTTGTATTATTACTGGCAAAGGACAGCAGTTTATAGCTCAGATGGGCTTAAAATGTTATGTTTAAGTTTTAAAATGTTTTGGGTTACGGATTGGCATTGTTTTGTTATTGTTTTAATAGCCAGAGTTTTGTTCTTGATGTTTAAGTTTTATTTTCATTATAGTAGCTAATAATAATAAAAAAAAAGGGTGAGATGTGGGAAACTGATGTAGGGTTGAGCCTCAGACTGACCTGCTGGCAAAGTCACAAACAAGTCCCAGCTTAGAGGGCTCAGTCCTCTTAGCATAATTAGGCTTGACCTTATAACACTCCCCAGATCTTACCTGGGAAGCTAATGGGCTAAGGGAAGTGCAGGGAGTGTAAACATGATCAAAACAGGTGAAACTCACAAGAACTGTAACTATGGTAACCACTGCATTGTTTACCTCAGACTATAAAAGGTCGGTGCGGCCTGAGCACGGATGGAAGTCCTTCCTCTTGAGGTGGACTTACCCGCCTGGTCCCCCAATATTTCCAAATTATCTCTTGTCTTTTCTATTTCATTTGTGTGTGGCCCCTCTTCCAGATATTGAACCCTGAACCACGTGGGACGTGGAGGGAAACATTTACGACAACCCAGTGAGAAAATTTTGAAGGGAAACACTGAAAAATAGAAACAAGAAATTTTCTAAACCATTTTAAGAAAGAAAATGCAAAAACAACAATAACAAAACAACAACAACGTGTCAAAGTCAGAAAAAAAAGGCAAGAAAATATGGTAGATCAAAACATAAAATGATAGTCCTGGTCAGTTTGGTTCAGTGAATAGAGCATTGGTCTACAGACTGAAGGGTCCTAGACTCCATTCCAGTTAAGGGCATGTACCTTTGCTGTAGGCTGGATCCTCCAGCCCTGGTTGGGGCTTGTGCGGGAAGCACTCAATCGATGTGTTTCTCTCATATCGATGTTTCTCGCTCTGTGTCTCTCCCCCTCCCTTCCACTCTCTCTCAAAATCAATGGGAAAAATTCCAAATTCCTTATTTTACCTGCTCCGTGCGTGCTAGACTCCAGCCTCCTAAGAGGGATCACTCGGAGCCCTGAGGTGGTCTCTGCCCACTAAGGGGTCTGCTGCTTAGAAGAGCTTCTGCGCGGGAGAAAAGCTGGGGGTGGAGGAGTGGAGGGGTGGGGAAAGGCATTTTTGGTCCCTCCCGCCCGAGCATGTTACCTTTGCCTTTCCCTCTCCTAAGCTCCAGGGTTCTTCTTTTGCCTCTGTAACTTGTTTCCTGAGCCTATGCAGCCCAGCTGGCTCACTTCTACTACCTTGTAACTTTCTAACTAAACTTTCTCTTATACTTTGGAAAAAAAATCAATGGAAAATATCCTTGGATGAGGGTAAAAAACAAATACAGCCCCCCCCATAAATTTATATAGCAAAAATAAATTATCCTATCTAATAAAGAGAGAATATGCTAATTGACCCTCATGCCATCACAAAGATGGCGGCACCCACAGCCAATAAGGAGGGAATATGCTAATTGACTACCCCATCCTCAAAGATGGCAGCACCCACAGTCCCAAGATGATGGTGCCCAGTCCCCTCAGCCCCACCGGGTGCCTGCCTCCTGAGTTCCCCAATCCCCTCAGCCTTCCAGACACCCAGGGCCGACCTGAGGCACAGACAAGCCTCAGATGGCGGCTGGCCAGCCACCCAGGGCCAGCCCAAGGTGAAGGCAAGCCTCGGATGGTGGCTGCCCAAGGCTCTGGTAACCAGGTCCGGCTGAGGCTTGTGCTGCCGGCAGTGGCAGCAGCAGAGGTGTGATGGAGGCATCGCCTTCCCCTGATCGCCAGGTTGTCTCCTGCCCCTGAGGGCTCCCGGACTGTCACCGGGGGCAGGCTGGGCTGAGGGACCCCCTTCCAGTGCATGAATTTTCATGCACCAGGCCTCTAGTCCTATATAATAAAAGGCTAATATGCAAATTGACTGAATGGAAGAATGACCAGTAGCTATGACGTGAACTGATCATCAAGGGGCATATGCTCAAAGCAAGAGCTGCCCCTTGGTGGTCAGTGTGCTCCCAGAGGGGGAGCACTGCTCAGCCAGAAGCCAGGCTCATGGCTGGCAAGCACAGCAGCAGTGGCGGGAGCCTCTCTTGCCTCTGCAGCAGCTCTAAGGACCCCTCAACGAACATCCCCTGAGGGGTCCCAGACTTAGAAGGCACAGGCCGAGCTGTGGGACCTCCACCCCAGTGCATGAATGTCGTGCAACAGGCCTCTAGTAGTATTAATAATATAATAAATGTGAATAGTAAATAGGTTTATTTCTACTAATAAATGGACAGAAAATCTTAGGTTGGGTAAAAGAAAAATCCAGTTAGAAGCTGTTTATAAGCCATGGTCATATATTTAAAACAAAACAACACCAAATCTATATATACATAAAAAGCCTAAGCAATCGTTACGACCAGTCAACCAGTCACTATGATGCCCAATGACCACTTATCCCTTCTGGTCAGGACTCATTTCACAATCATAAAAATGAGGAAGTTAGGAAGGCTGAAAGAAGCAGAAAGGGAGGAGACATACACTGGAGGAGGAGAGCAAAGCTGGCTTGATAGCTAACACCCCAAACACGCAGTCTCAGCCTGTGATCTGATTCTTATTTAAAGCCCAAAGTCAAGGAAATGAGAGATCCCAGGTTATAGACTCCTGGGCTTTCAGACACAGAGACCAGCAGGACTCCAGTCATTTATTTGACTCCTCCACCAGGCACCTCTACCCCACTCTCCAGGATTTTACTTTATTCAACTCTGCTCATTGCTGTGTGGCAAACCCAAGAATCACAGCCTCCAGACTTTGCACAGGTAACTGGGCTGGGGATGCAGGTGAGACCAAGGGGACAGGGAGGGAGTTCGAGAAAGCAGGGAGAGGGAGCTGTGGGTCTCAAGAGAGACAGAATAGAAAGAGGTATAAAAGGGCAGCTGGGAGGTTTAATGGCCAAGTGGAAATTTTAGACTCTATTCACTTAACTGGATTCAGGTTGAAATATGACAGCCAAACCTCGGTCACAAACTGAGACTCACTCAGCCCCATCTCCAGCCCCATCTTTAGCCCCAGCCTTGCCTCAGTCCTAACCTCATTAGAAACACCATCTTCTCCTTTAACCCCAAACATAGCTTCAGCCCCAGAGTCAACATGAATCTTAACACAAGCCCCAAATTGACTGTCTTCTGTTTCCAGCTTCAGGTCCAAGCTGAAGTATTAACCAACATCAAAGAAGGAGATGCAAACTCACTTGCATCCCCAATGTTAGACCCAATCCTAGTCACATATTTAGCTCCAACTTTACCTTCACCTTCTTTCCCACACTCAATCTGACCCCAGTCCAAAGACCAATCCTGACCCCACTTCCAACCTCTGCTGAAAACATAGGCCCATTCCCATTCCTCTCCCTAACCCTGGTTCATCCTCAAGCTGAACTTCTCTTACCTCAACATCATCCCTGACTTCAGCTCCAACTTCCTCCATCCCCTAACTCCATGGTCGGCAAACTGTGGCTTGCGAGCCACATGTGGCTCTTTGGCCCCTTGAGTGTGGCTCTTCCTAAGACTTAGGAGGACCCTAATTAAGTTACTAACAATGTGCCTACCTATATAGCTTAAGTTTAAAAAATTTGGCTCTCAAAAGTATTTTCAATTGTACTGTTGATATTTGGCTCTGTTGACTATTGAGTTTGCCGAGCACTGCCCTAACTCCATCCCTAGCCTGGTCTCTGGCCCTGCCTCCATTTCAGAGTTGGTCCAAGGATGTCAGTGAAGTATGAAGACCTCCAGTCCTTGGAGAGTGAGAAGAAAAGCCAGGGTTCTAGAAATGGTAAGAGGAAAGGAGAAATGGTGTCTTCTAAAATATTTTTGTTAATATGTTTAGAAGGATATCTGTTGTCATGGTATATCTGCACCTCTCCCATGTCCACTGCTCTCCCACTCTGAGGGGGCTCCAGTATGAAGAGGATTCACAATCCTCTGAAGGACAGGATCAGGGTGGACCAAAGCAGTCCTGGCTGCTATACTCTGGGGAAGGTCATGAGCATTTACACTGGGAGAGTGAACAGTCATGTTTGGAAGAAAAATGGTGGCTAACCTGACAATACAGATAAGCACGAGCCTGCTGAGGGCCTCGTTGCCCTGGCTCACTCTGTGTCCTCCTGCCCCCTGTTCCAGGCCTGATGATAAGACCTTACATGTCATGATGTGTTTCTGAGGGAGAGGGGGTCTGTGTGACTGAGAACTTGTGCTGGTCCATGAGAGGTGAGATGCCTGGGCATCCCCTGCACCACAACCTCTCCCCAGCTTTACCTGCACCACTCTTCATCCCTGACAGGTCCCTGTGGCCCTCTGCTCCTCCCCCATGTCTCTCCTGTCCTCAACCTCCATGTGCTGATGTCCTCTCCTCTTGCAGGGCTGCCTCCTCCCCCAGCCTTCCTGCAGCATCTCTGCTCTGGCCCCTGGCCCCTTCTGCTCTCTCTGGGCCTCATCCTTCTCCTGATGATTGGCATCCTCGTAATTGGATCCAAAAGTGAGTGTCCCAGGATGGGCAGGGAAGGGGGCGACAGTGGGGTATAGAAACCCAGGCACTGATGATGATCATGGTGGGTAAAGACAGCTGCTAGCTCTGTTGCTTACTCATGGGTAATGTAGTCCAAGTGCCTAACCTCTGGAAGCCTGAGTTTCCTCTCTGCAAGCTTGGATAACAACAGTGCCTGACCCTTGAAGTGGGGTGGCTGTGAGGACCCAATGAGCCAATGTATGTCAAGTGCCCTGCCCAGTGCCAGCAAAGAGAGGACTGAGCAATCTTAGCTCTCATTGTCCCACCTGCCTGGTCAGATGCCAAGATTCAGAGTGATGTGGAGACCCTGAGAGCAACTTTCAGCAACTTCACTTCCAACTCGATGGCTGAGGTCCAGGCACTGCACTCCCAGGGTGAGCCTGGTTGGAAGGGGCTCTGGATGGGAGGGGTTGTGGTGGGGGAGGGGGGCTGAATCCTGAGCACTGAGTCCCCATGTCCTCCAGGTGGCAGTTTGCAAGCAACAATAACATCTCTGAAAGCTGTGGTGGCAAACCAGGAGCAGGAACTGCAAGCAGGTGAGAGGCCCTCAGGAGTGAGTGTGCAAGGGTGGGGGCCGGGCTCTCGGGACAGAGGTGGGGTGGGCGCAGCCTGGGGTGCTGAGTGCCCTCCCCTCCAGCCCGCAGCCTGAATGACAAGGTGTTTTCTCTGGAGAGCAAGCTGGAGAGAGAGCAGCAGGAACTCAAAGCAGGTCAGGCCCCTCCTCTCCTGCCCCTGGGCCTGATATGGTGGGAGGGGATGGAGGGCCCTCAGCTGGGCCCCTGCATTGTCCCCACTGCCCTTCTGTGTGTCCCAGGTTATTCTGAAATGCTCCTGCAAGTCCAGCAACTCGGCAACGGCCTGAACTCCCTGAATTGTCAGATGGCTGCGCTCAAGAGCAATGGTGAGTGGTGGAGGGCAGTGCCTAGCCCCATATTCTGCCCATGTTGGGCAGCATATCAGATCCTCCTCCCTTTCCACCTCAGACTCTCAAAATACCTGCTGTCCCACTAACTGGCTGAAGCATGAAGGCAGCTGCTACTGGTTCTCTGGTACTGGGAAGCCCTGGCCCGAAGCTGAGAGGTACTGCCAGCTGCAGAATGCCCACCTGGTCGTCATCAACTCCAGAGAGGAGCAGGTGAGGGCTCAGGTCTGAGCTCCGGTCCTGAGAACTGGCCCCACTAAGGAAACGGTTCTCCACTCTTGCTGCACACTGGTATCACCAGGGAGCTTTAAAACCATGGCGATGTGAGCCACACCTGAGGGATTTATAATCATGGGCCACACAATGACATTTCAGCAAGGATGGACCAAAGAGATAACAGTCGTCTCATAAGATTAGACTAGAGCGGAAAATTCCTTTCACCTGGTGGGCAGTAGCCGTCATGGTGTAGTGTAGCACATTGCTCAGGTGTGTGTGCTGATGTTGGTGTGAACAGACCTGCCTCACTGCCAGTCGTATGTATAAAAGCACAGCACTTACAATTATGCACAGTGTAGTGTACTTGAAAATGGTAATAAACAACTGTTACTGATTTATGCATTTATGATACTACTAGAGGCCTGATGCATGAAGATTCATGCACATTAAAAGGGGATTGATTAGAGGAAATATTTTAATATTGCTATTTGCCCTTTCTCTATAATAGAAGTGTCAGAGATGAAAGAAAATTATTAAAATGTGCATGAAAATCTTCCTCCTGTCAGAGTCTGGGGTGTGCCACAGGACCCAAAGACAAGTCGCTGCCCACCCATGGCACCTCAAAATCACACAACACCCAGACCCAGCCGGCCCCACCCCCGTTGGGCGAGATCCAGACCTGGCTGGCCCCACCCTTGTCAAGCCCCGCTGGGCGGGGGGCACAGCCTCAGGTCCCCTGGCCTGGTGCCAGGTGGGGTGTGGGGCCTCAGGTTCCCTGTCTAGCCCTGCTGGGCATGGGGAACGGCCTGATATCCCCCACCCTGGTGCTGGGTTGGGGGGCTTGGCCTGAGGTCCCCTGTCAAGCCCCACTGGGTCGGGGGCACAGCCTCAGGTCCCTGCTGATTGCTCGTTAAGGCTCATTAGGGGAACTAGGCCTCCACTGTGGGTGCAGCCATCTTGTGTTACAGAAACCCCTCCTCCACTGTGGGCGCCACCACCTTTGTGATGGTGTGACGGTCAATTTGCATTTTCCTGCTTTATTAGATAGAATACTATTATTATGTTAGAGTGTATTCTTTCTACTTATAAAAAAAGTTTGTTTAAATATAAGCTGTGTTTTGCTGGCAGCAGCCTCATATCATACACCTTGTGTTTACTGTGTCTCTTTTGTGCATCTTTTCCTCTTGTGTTTGATTTTATCATCTCTTGTGGTTTTGTAGAGTAACACACCATAGAGGCTGATAACCTAGGAGCAATTGGCCATGGCCTAGGTGTGCGGTAGGCTATCCCATCCAGCTTGTTAAGTGCACTCTATGATGTTCGCACAATGATGGAATCGCCAGTCCCTGTTGTTAAAGCAGAGTTTGACGGCAATTGGCCTGGGCATTGGGATAAACATCCCAAATCCTCTCAACTGATATAATGTACATGTGAAGTTCAGAACTCCTAGTCCAAGGAGTTGGGAGAAGACATCATTGTCATTCTCTCATCCCAGATTTTTGTCCAGAAGCACATAGGCTCCTCATACACCTGGATGGGCCTCAGTGATCCTGAAGGAGCCTGGAAATGGGTGGATGGAACAGACTATGAGACCAACTTCAAGTGAGTACACTTGCTTTCTGTGCTCTTCCTCCCCTCCTCGAGGATCTGACCTACAGCCTCTTCTCCCCACCCCCACTCTGTTCCATCTGACTTCCCAACTTGCTGTTGCCTTTCCCCCTCAGGAACTGGAAGCCGGGCCAGCCAGATGACTGGAATGGACACGGGCTGGGTGGAGGCGAGGACTGTGCCCACTTCCACCCGGATGGCAAATGGAATGACGACGTCTGCCAGAGGCTCTACCGCTGGATCTGTGAGGCCAGCATTAGCAGGTCCAGATAGGAGTGTCTTAGAGCTGCTTCCTGTGGACCATTGAGCCATGGACATGGCAGGGATGGGGGCAAGATTCTTCCCCAGACACTCCTAACAAGATCTCTGTGGGAGAGAAATATGCCCTGGGAGATTGGAGCACTGCCATCATTTTGAACTTTTTTCTCCTTAACTTTCAAAGATTATATAGAGTTCCTAAGGTGTTTTTAAAAATTGAATTTCAGCTTTATTGAGGTATAATTGACATATAAAACTTTAAGTTACTTAAAGTATACATGGTTGTGATTTGATATATATAGTAAAGGAAAGACCCCATCTAGTTAATGAACACATCTATAATTTTACATAATTATTATTTTTAGTAAATACTTAAGTTCTATTTTCTTAGCAAATGTCACTTATACTATACAGTGTTATCAACTATAGTCACCACGTTTTACATTAGAGCCTCAGACCTCATTTTGTAACTGAAAGTCTGTACCCTTTTACCAACCTCTCCATATTTTATACCCCCACCACCCAGGCAACCACTTTTCTACTATTTCTTACTATGAATATGATATTTTCAGATTCCACATATAAGTGATGCCATGCAGTATCTGTCTTTCTTGGTCTGGCTTATTTCACTTGGTATAATGCCCTCAAAGCCCATTCATGTTGTGGCAAATGGCAGGATTTCCTTCTACCTCGTGAATGAAAAATATTTCATTGCTCATATATACCACATCTTCTCTATCTATTCATCCACTGATGAACACTTAGGTTGTTCCCATATCTAGGCTATTGTTAATAATGCTACAAGGAACATGGGATGCAGATAAACCATTTTCACTTCATTTGCATATATTCCCAGAAGTGGGATTGCTGGATCATATGGTAGTTTTATTTTTAATTTTTGCAGAAAGCTCCATATTATTTTTCACAGTGGTTGCACCAATTTACATTCCTACCAGTAGTACATAAGAGTTCCCTTTTGCTTTGCCAACCCAGACTTGTAACCTTAAAAATGAACTTTATTGAGATAAAATTCTTACATAGTAAAATGAACTCATTGAAAGAGTAGAGATGACTTTTGAGAAATATAAATACCTATGTAGTCTATAGATCAACTGGGTGCTTTTTGGTCTGACAAGGCTTGACTCACCTTCGCTGGTCTCATTCATGCATTTGAGGCCAGCTGGTGGGTTGGCTGGGAGCTGGTCTAGGACAGTCTCACTTCCATGTCTGACCTTTGGCTGGCTACAGGCTGGGACAATGGGATGACGGGGTCATTTTAGGCTAGCCTGGGCTGATTCGCATTCTGCCTTTGGACAGGGTTCCAAAAGAGTAACTGGAAGAGTGCAAGAACTCTGAAGTCTTAGTTTTGGAACTGAAGCATCACTTCTGTTAACTCCTGTTGGCCAAAGTAAATCACAAGGCAGCCCTGCTTCTAGGAGACAGGAAATAGAACAACTTTTGATGGGAGGAGCTACAAAGTCATAATGTGGAGAGAATGGATATAGGGAGGCATGGAGATTGCTGTTTTTCAATCAATTTGGCATACAGGGGAAGCATATTGGGACACCCTGTAGAGAACCAGCCCATAACGAAAGGTTCCCATTAAGAGAGGCCAGGACCCATGCATTCTGGTATTACTTGCACCCAGACAACTGCCTGGCATATAGAAAGGTGTCAATTAAAATTAATTAACAATACAGAGGCTCAGCTGGCATGGCTTAGTGGTTGAGTGTCAAGCTAGGAACCAGAGGTTCACGGTTCCATTCCCAGTCAGGGCATATGCCTGAGTTGCAGGCTTGATCCCCAGTTTGAGGTGGTGCAAGAGGTAGCTGATCAATGATTCTGTCTCATCATTGATGTTTCTATCTCTCTCTCCCACTCCTTTCTTCTCTGAAATCAATAAACACACAGTGGAGCCTTGACTTACATGTTTAATTCGTTTCGAGCCCGAGCTTGTTAAGGAGCTCATTAACTCCAATTACTGTATCAACTCAGTGCAAAAAATGGCCGAGAGACAGCTGGTATCTCAAAAAACACGTTAGTCGGGACACTCGTAAGTCAAGGCCCCACTGTATTAAAAAAATAAAGAGGTTGATATCAGAGGGCAAGTATGAGAAGGACAAAATTATCCCTTGGAGGCAGCACAACTTCACTTTTCCCTTCCACTCTCTCTAAAAATCAGTGGAAAAAAATATCCTTGGGTGAGTATTAAAAACACCAACAAAAAATGAAAAATGGGGAGACAAAGAAACATCCCCAAATAAAAGAACAGGAGACATTCCCAGAAAAAGAACTAAATGAAATGGAGGCAAGCAATCTACCAGATACAAAGTTCAAAACAATGACTATAAGGGTGCTCCAGGAACTTAGGGGAGGAACGGATGAACTCAGTGAGAACATAAACAAAGAGATAGTAAGCATAAAAGAGCACATAGAAACTATAATAAAGAACCAGTGAGAAGTGAAGAATACAATATCTGAAATGAAGAATTACACTTCAAAGAAAGGTATAAATTGTGGTTAGGTGAAGGAGATGATCAAAGCAGTGATTTGGTAGACAAGGTAGCAGGAAACATCCAATCAGAACAGAAAAAGAAAATAATAATTAAAAAAAATAAGGATAGTCTAAGGCAGTGGTTCTCAACCTGTGTGTCGTGACACCTTTGGCGGTTGAATGACCCTTTCACAGGGGTTGCCTAAGACCATCCTGCATATCAGATATTTACGTTATGATTCATAACAGTAGCAACATTACAGTTATGAAGTAGCAACGAAAATAATTTTATGGTTGGGTCACAACATGAGGAACTGTATTTAAAGGGCCAGAAGGTTGAGAACCACTGGTCTAAGGGAGCTCTGGGACACCATGAAGGATAACAGTATCCACATCATAGGGGGACCAGAAAGAGAAGAAAGCAAGAAATGGAGAACCTTTTTGAAGAAATAATGATGGAAAACTTCCTAAACCTGGTGAAGGAAAAAGACACACAAGTCCAGGATGCAAAGAGAGTCCCAAATGAGATGCATCCAAAGAGGTTCACACCAAGACACATCATAATAAAAATGTCAAAGGTTACAGACAAAGAATTAAAAGCAGCAATAGACAGTTAATTACCTAAAAGGAGCTTCCATAAGACTGTCAGGTAATTGCTCAACAGAAACATTTCCGGCCAGTAGGGATTTACATGAAATAGTCAAAGTTATGAGAAACAAAGACCTACAACCAAGACTGCTCTAACCAGCAAGGCCATTATTTAAAACTAGAGGACCAGTGGATGAATTTGTGCATGGGTTGGGTCCCAGCTGCCCGCAGTGCAATGGCAGGTGGGAACTGTGGGCCCTGGCTGCCTGAGGTGCTGCGGTGGGAGGGAGCTGTGGGAATAGAGCTATGCTGCCATCGGACTGGCCTCTGGGTCCCTCCCCCGCCCGCAGGATCTGTGGAACCAGAGCCATGCTGTGATGGGACTGGACCCTACCTGAGGGGTCCCGGATTGTGAGAGGGTGCAGGCTGGGCTGAGAGATCCACCCCCCCCTACCCCCAAGTGCATGAATTTTCATGCACTGGGCCTCCAGTGTTATATATTTCTTACTCATTTATTGTATCTGTCACCCACCAGAATAGAAGTTCTATGAGGGCAGGACCACTTCTATCTGTTCACAGTTCACACTGTTCTTCCTTTGCCTAAAACTAGGGTGAGTGTCTGGGAGGGAAAATCCTGTGTACCAGTCCTTTAAAAAAGGGGCTTTGTCCCTGGGTGGTTCAGGTCTCTGGCTACTGGAAGCACGGATGATGGTTGGTGTGTAGTGGCTATTGCCAGTTCTGGCTGTCCAGGTTGGTGTGCCCTGCCTGGTGTCCAGACCTCTCTCCTCTCTGGGGGAACCCTCTGCTCCCTTGGCCCGCAGCTCCTGGGTGCTGGGCCAGCGCCCATTGGCTCCTTGCCTTTCCTACCAGTTTTGAGGAGGTCTCTGCCCTTCCTAATTTAAAAGTCTCCTCTTCATCCAGTCTTCAGCTGGTATTTTAGGGTGACTATTCCCCAGTTTAGTTCAGTTCTAGTTAAATTCTGGGAGGAGGTGGGAGAAAGATCCACCTACTCCACTGCTATCTTCCAATTCCCCCTCCCATGATTCTGCGGGAACTGAATGGTTAATGTGTTGCTCAAAGTTTGTTCATTATCCCCAGATCCACCTGTCCCAATCTGGACAGGTATCCTACTGTCCTTCACCCTCTTCCCTCCTTCTGGGAAGAGTGAGCAGAGCTAGGCCAGAGCTGGGGGAGCTTGGTGGCTCAGGCCCCAGAAGAAGCGCTGATGCCAGGGACTTGGGTTATGCTTGAGGAAGAACTGAGAAAAAGGCTCTTCTGGATCTGGGTGTGCAATGGTGGAGGCACTATCAATAATGGAAAATTCTGATGAAGGAAGTGAAATGTTGTGTGGGGCAAAGAAGAAGCAACAAACTGTACCTATGGACTCCTCTGGGAGGGGTTCCTCTCCACAATGGCAACAATGAGGAAGTCAAGGGAGTTCAATAGAAGTTGAAAAGGACCAGACACACCCTGGAGGAGCAGGGGTGAGGTGGGGGGAGCAAAGCTGGCCTTATATATAACTTCTTCACTCACACAATCTCTGCCTGGGTTCCTATCATTATTTACTACCAAAGTTGAAGAAAAGGGAGATCCCAGGTTATAGACTCCTGGGCTTTTAGACACAGAGACCAGCAGGACTCCAGCCACTGACCTGAATCCTCCCTCGCTCACCTCTAGCCCACTCTCCAGGATTTCATTTTATCCAACTCTGCTCATTGCTGCAAGGCCAACCCAAGAATCACAGCCTCCAGACTTTGCACAGGTAACTGGCTGGGGATGCAGGTGAGACCACGGGGACAGGGAAGGAGTTAGAGAAAGCAGGGAGAGGGGGCTGTGGGTCTGAAGTGGGACTGAATAGGAAGAGATATAAAAGGGCAGCTTGGAGATTCAATGAGCTGGTGGAGATTTTAGACTCTATTCACATAACTGCTTTGGGTTGCCCCATCTCTAGCCCCATCTTCAGCCTCCAGCCTAAATGCAGCCCTAACCCCATTACAAACACTAGCACCAACCGAACTCTCTTCAATTTCCAACATCAACATCAAACTTAGGCCCCACTCCATCCATGGCATCAACATCAGTATTGACCCCAGTCCTAGGAGGAGACACAACCTTACTTGCATCCCCAATGTAAGATCCAGTCCTAGTAATTCCTTTAGCTCTAACTTTACCTTTACCTTCAATCCCACATTCAACCCAATCCCAGTCAAGAGACCAATCCTGACCTTACTTCCAACCTCTGCTGCAAACCCAGGCCCATTCCCATTCATATCCCTAACCCCAGGTTCATCCTCAACCTGAAATTCTTCTCTTACCTCAACCCCAGCCCTGACTTCAGCTCTAAGCACACCCAGCCTTCCCTGTCTCCTATCTCCAGCCCCAGCCTGGTCTCTGGCCCTCCCTCCATTTCAGCTCGGACAGCCTCAGAGTTGGTCCAAGGATGTCAATGAAGCATGAAGACCTCCAGTCCTTGGAGAGTGAGAAGAAAAGCCAGGGTTCTAGAAAGGGTAAGAGGAAAGGAGAAATGGTGTCTTCTAAAACACTCTCTTAATATGTTTAGAAGGATCTCTGCTCTCACAGTGTATCTGCACCTCTACCATGTGCACTGCTGGGGTCCCTGACACTGCGGGTGTTAGGCTCTAGCTCCTGGTGGTTGCAATATGAAGAGGAGTCGAGAAGGACAGGATCAGGGTGGACCAAAGCAGTCCTGGCTGCTATTCTCTGGGGAAGGTCATGAGCATTTACACTGGGAGAGTGAACAGTCATGTTTGGAAGAAAAACGGTGGCTAACCTGACAATACAGATAAGCACGAGCCTGCTGAGGGCCTGGCTGCCCTGGCTCACTCTGTGTCCTCCTGCCCCTAGTCCCAGCCCTGATGATAAGACCTTACATATTGCCATCGTGTTGACATAGGGATGAGGGGCCCAGGTGCCCGAGAACTTGTGCTGGTCCATGAGGGGTGAGATGCCTGGGCATCCCCTGCACCACAACCTCTCCCCAGCTTTTCCTGCACCACTCTTCATCCCTGACAGGTCCCTGTGGCCCTCTGCTCCTCCCCCATGTCTCTCCTGTCCTCAACCTCCATGTGCTGATGTCCTCTCCTCTTGCAGGGCTGCCTCCTCCCCCAGCCTTCCTGCAGCATCTCTGCTCTGGCCCCTGGCCCCTTCTGCTCTCTCTGGGCCTCATCCTTCTCCTGATGATTGGCATCTGCGTGATTGGATCCAAAAGTGAGTGTCCCAGGAGGGGCAGGGAAAGGGGGCGACAGTGGGGTACAGGCACCCAGGCACTGATGATGGTCATGGTGGGTAAAGACGGCTGCTGGCTCTGCTGCTTATTCATGGGTAATGTAGTCCAAGTGCCCAACCTCTGGAAGCCTGAGTTTCCTCTCTGCAAGCTTGGATAACAACAGTGCCTGTCCCTTGAAGTGGGGTGGCTGTGAGGACCCAATGAGCCAATGTATGTGAAGTGCCCTGCTCAGTGCCAGCACAGAGAGGACTGAGCAATCTTAGGTCTCATTGTCCCCCCTGCCTGGTCAGATGCCAAGATTCAGAGTGATGTGGAGACCCTGAGAGCAACTTTCAGCAACTTCACTTCCAACTCGATGGCAGAGGTCCAGGCACTGCACTCCCAGGGTGAGCCTGGCTGGAAGGGGCTCTGGATGGGAGGGGTTGTGGTGGGGGAGGGGGGCTGAATCCTGAGCACTGAGTCCCCATGTCCTCCAGGTGGCAGTTTGCAAGCAACAATAACATCTCTGAAAGCTGTGGTGGCAAACCAGGAGCAGGAACTGCAAGCAGGTGAGAGGCCCTCCAGGAGTGAGTGTGCAAGGGTGAGGGCTGGGCTCTCAGGACAGAATTGGGGTGGGGGCAGCCTGGGGTGCTGAGTGCCCTCCCCTCCAGCCCGCAGCCTGAATGACAAGGTGTTTTCTCTGGAGAGCAAGCTGGAGAAAGAGCAGCAGGAATTCAAAGAAGGTCAGGCCTCTTGTCCCCTCCCCTGGGCCTGATGTGGTTGGAGGGTATAGAGAGCCCTCAGCTGGCCCCCTGCATTGTCCCCACTGCCCTTCTGTGTGTCCCAGATTATTCTGAAGTGCTCCTGCAAGTCCAGCAAGTGCTCAACGACCTGACCTCCCTAAATTGTCAGATGGCTGTGCTCAAGAGCAATGGTGAGTGGTGTGGAGGGCAGCTCCTAGCCCTAGCCC